ATTTATCATATGTCACCCAAGTCACGCAAGTCCACATATGTCAGCTCCACCACAGTTTTATACCGCATGGGCCAAAAGGAAAGACAGGTTTAACATGATATTATTGCCTAATCAGTTGTAGAACTAATACAGCACAGTACAGGTGCTGTAACACTGTTATTATGATCCGCTTGAGGAATTAGCTTCACTATGACTGTCAAAAAAAACGTTTCAGTTGTGTAATGGCCTGACTTTAAACCCTGTTTCCGTTAACAGTGAACCTGTTATGAGAAATGATTTGACCTCACACGTGTGATTAGTTTCAGTTCATGAGTTTAACATTTCTGCCAAACTAACTACAGTTTGATACAAATTTATTTATCAAATTTGCTCAGTTTTTGTCATTACAAATTTAGCAATAAGTGACATCTTCGGGTATATTTTTCTAATTATGTATCTACAGGTTTTAATTATTGCCTTCGGAAGACATACATACACAAAGAGAGATGTGTAACATTTCCATAGTTTAAAGGCAGTTTAAAGACAGTTTATGAGGGCACAGCATTGGGGATCAAGTAATCTAGTTAATCTAATATATCCCACCCACTAACAGATGCTATGATGAAGCTATAATCAGTTGTCATACTCTTATCCCAGATTGTTGTATGGTTCACTTTATGTGTATTCATCACTCGTCCTCATTTCTTGGAAGGCTGACAAATCTTTTCTGATTTACTAAAGTTAAAGTTGACAGTCTCACCTCATTTTTTACACATTAGGCCACTCTTTTTCTAATAATTGTCTATCACATGGCAGACTTGTAATGCTTGTGTAAAAGTGTAATACAAATATAATCATCTAAAAGAGGATAAGAATTTCATTTATTCACATCTGCTTTGACATCCATATTTTAGCTATAGCCAATGATTGAACAAAAATCTAAAAAGCAAACAAACTGCAACAATCAGTGTTGATTTTCTGTGAAACTCACTTTGAAATTACACTTAAAGTGTGTCAGATAAAAATGATGTTCACACATCCAGCATTAACTTAAAAGAAGTGCCGTAACAAAATGATAAATCTGCCGCCTATGTTAAGGTGGAACTGACACTTTTCTAAAAGTAAACTTAAAGCTAAAAAACCACAGGGTAAGAAAACAGAACTGGTTTTTGTTGTTGTAGATGACTGTGTGATAAGATTCTTAAGTACTCAATAATATCCCTTTCCTGTAAGGTGTCCCTCCTGTTAGGGAGAGAATTATGGAAATTATGACAAGTACAACATGTTGTCACATATCCCTTAAAGGGTTGTGCAAACATTTTAGTTTCTGTTCAATTTAACTATAAGAGGAAATGAATCCTGCTTTTACAGCACTTATTTTGCTCTTGATGCCGAAATCACTTCGAGCACATCAAATTGCAGCATGAACCACTCAGTTGAGTTGTCTCTTTCAGAGGAGTTTGATGGCAGCACAGCAGTGGCGTGTGTGATCCTCGGTTTGTCCTTCCTGGTTGGAGCTCCTGGGAACGTGCTGGTGATCTGGACCATCCTGAGACACGTCAAGCAGCGCTCCCATACTGTGGTGATCATTCTGCACTTGGCTGTTGCAGACCTGCTGGTTCTCATCACCCTGCCTCTATGGATCTACTCTCTAGCTCACACTTGGGTGTTTGGAGCAGTATTGTGCAAGACCTTAGTGTACACTGTGACTGTGTGCATGTTCAGCAGCATCTTCTTGATCACTGTTATGAGCGTGGAGCGCTTTCTTGCCATCTGTCATCCATTTCTGATGATGCGCTGGAAGACAAAAAGCAATATAAAAATATATCTTGTACTTTTGTGGCTGCTTGCTTTCCTTCTAGGAGTGCCTGCCTTAACACAGAATCTGGAAAACACTGATGGAAATGTGCAATGTTTCACCAGGGAATTAAACTCTGACACCAACACAATTATCATCCTTTGCCTAGAAACCTTGTTGGTCTTTATAGTTCCTTTCATTGTTCTAAGTATCTGCTACTGTCTAGTAGCTGCACAGATCAAGAAGATGAGTTTCAATTCAAAAGAGAAATCCATGGTTCTCATCCATTCTGTAGTGATTGCTTTCACAGTGTGCTGGTTGCCTTACCACGTTATCAACATTATTGATCTGATTTGTATCTTAAGCTGGCCAGACACTGATGACGACTGTATATCAAAGCCTATCATCTTCATAGTTGGTGCCCTGGTTTTCATCA